AATTAAAATTTCGGAAATTTTTCTGCCATCATCATCACGAAATCACAGGGTCACACCTTTTTGCAAACCGCCATAATAATAAAAGCATATGTATATGATTGTTAAATTTCTTTTTTATCATCTTAAATTCATATTATCCATTAATTGAAAAAGCCGAAAACCGTACCGGTATGGGAGAAAATTCGCATATCACCTGATAATGCAAAACTTCTTATTATGATTACTTCAACTATTCTTAACAATAACGATAATAATATTGTAGAAGATGACGAATCAAGTGAAGAAATCGAATTGAAAATTATATATCAATACATAAAAATTCTTTATGAAGTATAACATATTTATTGTTTTTATCAAATTAAATTTTGCAGTATAATAAATAAAAATATCTAAATTTGATATCGAAACTATCTTGATATCGGTGCTTGACCCTCATGAAAACTAATAATCTTTCGAACCAAAAAAATGGTTGAAAATATTGAATCAAATTTCACGACAATTCAAACGACATAAAGAATCTGAACCAAGTGAAAAACCTCCAAGAACCTGGGACACACAAAATAAAATCTTTTTATCAGGCAAACTCAAAATTCATGAATGTTTTATGATATAGTACATAAATTAGGTAATAATAGGTTACCAAATAAATTTCGAATAAACACTTTTTCTTGAAATTTATGATATAGTATATAAAGTTAGGTAATAATTGTTTACCAGATAAATTTTGAATAAACACTTTTTCTTGAATAAATAATTTTATATTATATATTTAGAATTTTTAAATAGAAAATTTTCTAAATTTACACAGGTGTTGCACACGAGTATTAATATGCAAATCCATAAATAATACTGTAATATGCCAATCAAAATTTTTACCATGAAAAATTAATCCCCTGCTTATATTTAGGATAGGGGTGAGGTTTGGGGTTAGGCAAGCATAGTTTATACCAAAATTTTGCAAGGAATTTTTTTTGTTAGAAGCCAAAAGGTGGTTTCATAATCGAAATTTTGAGAAATAACAATACCCCGTGTGTACACACTAGCGTACAAATAGTAATTATCCTTTATATAATGATAATTTTTATATGTCGGATTACAAGATCCGGTTAAGTAAAATTTCAGATCAGACTTTAGACAGCGATTACGTAACTGATCGTGGAAATTATCGGTTATGCTAGAGGGTTTAATACCGGGCGGAATTAAGAAATAGGAAAACAAAAGTTTCGAAAAATTCGAAGGGTCGGAGAATAATTTGAGAAGGTTCCGATATTTTCTAAACGGAAAATATAAAATCAAAAAACTATATTATGCACATTTTCCTTCACAAGTAATAGCAATAACTATAGCAATGACAAAGTAGTCAATATAAATATCAATACTCTTACAAAAAAGACGGATAAAAACCTTCTTGTCTGTAACTTAAGGAAATTTTGTCTGTAGATCTAAAAAAAATAAAATAAATATAGAATACGCATTACACAAATTATTACACTGCATATACATATATGGAAAGATGAATCGGTTAAAAATTGATGCCTTAAACAAAATTAAAATTGAATACCTTAATAATAGGGACAATTTACAAATAAAAACACATTAATTTCTAACATAGTACATTTAGAGAATCTTTTTGCTACATAATTAGCTTTCGTAGATTGTAGCTATAGCAAACTTGTATATCTTTTCAGAAATCATTTTTAAAAATTGGCAAAATGGTCCTAATGAGAGGTATCGCATTTAATCTAATTATACTTACGCTTATCATTAAGATAAACAAGACATGAGGCATATAACCGGTTAGGTCAAAAAAAAAAGATGCTCGATGAGTTTATTATTCCGGTCAATAAACTTTTTAAACACTTTACTAAATGGATCAGTTACAAATTCTAATAATGCAAATAGATTAACAAATGAATGATTATTTATATTCGGCAAATTAATTACATTAATTAACAATAAAACCAACCGGATTAAAATTCTTTATTATATTTTTTTTAATTACTTAATTGAGGTTAATAATAGTATTACAACAAGGAAAAGATGCTATTGAAGCGAAAAATTCATCACACACTACGACTGTATTCCATATATAGCTAAAAATAAAAAAAAAGGGATTGATTTTCGGTATGTATAGCGCCGATTGTCTAATCTAAAATTGGGTGCGGAGCGGACATAAGCATACAAAACTCCACCGTAGGAGTCCTCGCTACGCTTCGGATAATTATTAATAAACTGCAATAAGAATAATGCCTGAACAAAATAATATAGTCATGCTGATTTCGTTGATATTATTCAAACAATTCCATTCATATTAAATTATATCTTATAAAAATTTCCGTTGCTGGATGCACAGATAACACGCTAGTCATATATAAATATATGCATAGGTAGTCACAAAGACTTATTTAGTAAAATTTAAATCAAAAGATGGACTCTGCTGCTACTTGAAAAACGTTAATGCCGAGTGAATCAAGAAAAATTATGTCATCCAAATTTAATGAATATATGTATTCGTCAGACGGAAAAGATTGATGAGAGTCTAGCGTTAATTGATTGGCGACTGAATCTGGTTCTTGCGAAACACTTTCCATGATAGTATTAATATAGGATGGGTTAAGAAAAGCTATGTCATCCATGTTTGATGAAGATGCGTATTCATCAGGTGAAAAAGATTGAAGAGGGACTAGCTCTAGTTGATTCGAGACATGTTCTGATTCTTGTAGAACCCTTTCCATGTTGACATCATAAACTATTTGGTATGTTCTTTCTTCTTGTCTCCTTTTTCGTAAAAAGTCGTCAATTCGCCTTGAAACCTTTTTATAAGCCTTCTTAACCATTGTTCTTTCATTTTTCCAAGATTTACCTGCCATTCTTGATACATCGGTCATTTTTATCTTCATACCATTTTTAATTGCACGCTTAGTATATTCTCTTCTATAGAGGAAAAATGGGTTTAAAGATTTATGATTGTTCCCTGCCAGTTTTTCAATGTCAAATTCTTCTATTTCCGATATACTCGGCATCTGAATGTCCATTTTGTGATGTGGTATAATGGATTTAAAGGTTTAGTTTGGCGAAAAATCTCTTAGCAAATGTGTGGAAAGGATTATTCCTCCAAGAAACAGATGGATAAAAAGCAGACCTTTCAAATGGTATCCACTTATATAGGGAAATTTTTAATAATGGGACGATTTTTCGGAATCAATATGCAAAGACTTGTTTAATCTAATAACCGAAGAATAGAATTTTTTACATTTTGTGTCATATAAATTTCCTTTTATCATTGTACATTAATGTACGTACGTACGTATGTACATTCATTTTTTAGGCAAACGTACACAACTACCTAACAAAGTGGCTGTTACTTTGCACAATAGAAATAAATAAATTTATTTATCATGTAATGAGTGAATATAATGTAATAAAATATTAGGGCATGAATGACAGCACTATATTGTATGTGATATTCACTGAACAAATTTATTATAAATAAACTTAATAAAGACGCGTTCTACATAAGTAAAATCAGGCATAGAGTAATGTATGACGCGTTTTCTTTATTCATTGATATTTGTAAATAATGAACTCAAATCTAATATGAAACTAAATGAAGAAATAATTTTATTTATAAAAATACAGTAATTCTAGTAACCATACAGAAGGATTATAATATCTCACTTCAAAATGCCATATTTAAATTATCTACAAATTATTCTCATGTGGAAAAATAATTCTGAAATATTTGAAGAGCATATTCTACGAAAATCAACAAATAATATCCAAAGTATTATTCATTTGTATTATTTGTATTTTTTCTCGCAGAATGTATTATTTCGAAAGTACAATCTTTGTGCTTACATAATCTTAAAATAGATAAATTTCATATACGTACGTACGTACGCCGATGATCTATAAAATTTACCAAAAACACTTATGAAAGGTCTTACAATTATCTTTGATAGGCATCTCATTTTCATTTTTAAAAAAATTTGTACGATGACTCCGTATACGTAGAATGGTTGAAAAATATCTGCAAAACATGGTTCTCGTTGATTGTAATTTGATTTTCATATAATATACATGCCGAAAGAAAATGGTATATTAGCACGCAATGTATTTTTTTTTAAATAACTAAAAACAATTACCAATTTATTGAGATCTGAAACTAATTCAGAATCCATTGAATGCTAATTTTCTTTCATATGAACTTAATCCAGAATTGAATACTACTTGCTTTAAGATCATTTGATGCATGAAATATACATACATACGGCTCATTAAACCCACAATAGTTTAGTGGTTTTTTCTAATCGGGAATAGTACCCTATCAGGTAATGAACCACAATATTCATTGGATGACATTAAGTAAAGGTGCTAGAACTTTTGTGACGTTTAACTGCCAGCAATGGCAATCTGCTTAATCTCTATTGATAACAACCTGCAATCTTTGTCATAAAAATATGTGAAACAAAAGATGAAGAATAAATTCCGAACAAAGAAGCTATCTCTTTGTAGAATTTGTCTTCCATCATTCTTAATCAATGGTCACATATAGACTTGTGATCCTAAACTATATTCATATTAAATCTAGCTTTATGAAATGTTGGTGGGTGATGTTAATAATAAGTTCCTTAGTACATACGTACGTACGTTCGATTAATATTACTAATACGATAGATTAATTTCAAAAGATCACTTCTACAATCACGTGATATTGACCAATCAAAAGATATTCATATTATGTTAAAAAACGCAAACGATTTCATTCTTGCTAATGACTAAATAATAAAAGTATTTAAACTGACTTTACCAGCATAAAAAAAAAAGCTATTTAAATATACATTTATACGTTTGATATCATAGTATATAAACTTTGCAAACATATTAATAATAAAAAAAAAACAAAAAATAATAATACTAAACCACACATGGTATTCAACGCTACATATTTTTTAATAGTTGTAGTATTGAATTTTAATAACATTATTGTTTACGTTGAAACATAGTATTGAATTTAACAACATTAGCTGTTTACGTTGAAAGAAAGGATAGAAAAAATTCCCTACGCATATTGTTATACGATAATTAACGCTATACTAGTAAAGCGGCAACATTTTGTAGGCCAGAACCCCAATGCTTAGGTGTTATATTTTCCTTTTTTTCTTATTATAAAATTATCGCCCATCACGGTGTCCTGTACATTATTACCAATCATTTTGTTCGTGTGAAGATGAGGTATGTCATTCTTAAATCACGTCAAATAATTTTTTATACGTACTTACGTAGCTGCTATATTTCAAAAAGGTCATATCACCATATCATGGGAAAATAACAATCTTTCCAGATTTTTAGCAGGTTTCAAAAAGTTGTGGAAAGATACAGATCACCATACTTCGATAGGAAATTCACAGTCATTCACAAATTTCCCGCGATTCAAAATCGTTTTCCATATCTTTTTGAAAACAGCCGTGATTTTTTACAAATCTAATTTTCAGATTCAATTATTCTTCATGAACTGAGTGAAAATTATATGTCAAGAGTGTGTATTATGTAAAAGTGCGAAGTGTGAAAATTTATTCAATTATATCATTCTTTAGTGAAAACCTTTCTAGAGTTAATTATTCTTTGCTACACTTAATGCTAATACTGTATAACCGAGGAAAAGATTAGAGCAGTAATTATGTTTAAAATCTGCAACAGCATCAAGATTTTTTTGAGGATTATAATTATCATTAAGTTGTGGGCGGGTGATGCTTTGATTTCTAAAATAATTAATTGCATGTCAGACTTCATTATTTGCATTGATTTACGTTCTCCTTTTTAATATTATTGTTATAGGTTGTTGATTGACGTTTTCGCAAGCTTGGCTCTTTCCTTATTCTTAACTGAGTTTGCGATTTGTCTCTTTTCTGATTCGGGTGTGTGTGTTTTTTTAGTGTTTCTGCATTTTAACTAAAAAGAATATGATAATGTTCTATTTATTTATTGATATGTTTGCTTACCATACGATGACATATTAATGGTGATATTTGATCCGAATAATTCTTGCTATATTGTCCACTGGTATGCTATTCTTTTATTGAAAGTCAATTTATATGTGCTACTATTTCCCGCATAGGTAGGAACTAGAGGCCTCCAGTCATTCAGAATTTACTAGGTCAATTCCTCGAAGTAGAAAACAAAAGTGTTACTCTTCGCTTAATATAATGCCGTGACGGGTTTTTCAACCTTTTTTGCCGTACTAAGAAAACCACAAACCAATTTTTGCTTTTAATAATAAAATCACGTTAATCAAAAGAATTTAAAAATTTTTACCCTTATAAAGATGATATTGTCGCGCCGACTAAGTGAATTATAAAAACCTTACCATGATATATTTATTGATGTAATTAAGAGAATTTATAGCTTTTATTTAAATAATTCCATTGCTACTGCTAAGAGCCAAAAGATTTTAAAAACTTTCACCTAAATAAAACTATCGTATAGATTACAGAATTATTTCAAATCTTGCATAAAATTTTAAAATGCACTCGAGAATCGCTGAAGAATAGCAAGCATTGGGGAAAATAGGCATTACTGTAAACTTAGGTTACTTTTTTTTTTTTTTTAGAATTAAAAAGATAATCAATTGTATAAAACAATTAAATTAAACGAGCATGATTAAAAATCCATCTGATTGGTTGTCGATCCTTGAATTTTGATTGGCTAATTAGGGTAAACGTCTATATGAAAATACAATCGGTTATAAGAAAACTCGCCAACAAATCTGATTATACCAGATTAAATTTACCAGAAGCAAGTAATGTCGAAGAACTAAATTTCTGTATAATTTCGTTAGCA